TCTTATTTTCATGCTCATGACAGAGGAGGATCTCCTATGGAGGTATAAAGTATCAAGGTTAAAATCTCATATGGGTGGCTATCCAGAGCCAAATTTAATGTCCTCTGAACAACCCTTAGAAAGAGAAAAACCCTGAGACATTGAAAAATTTGAGTACCACTTATGAGTCCTAATTATATATATTTTATAGTCCTGTTGTTACTGAAGACTGTTCTTGAAATTCAGGGATCTTGACAGTCTGTCCAATGTGGAAAATCTATTAAAAAGCAATCTGAAATGCATTGCAGGTGAAATCACTTTTACCAAAGTGCAGATCATTTAATTTATTCCAAGGGCATATAATTGGAAAAAAGACTACCTCAGTATCTTTTTTCTTTTTACAATATTGCATAAATACATACTTCCTTATTCTAGCTTCAGTATGTGTACAGTTTTGGAAAAGCCCATGTGAGAAAAGCTAGTGGATTTTTTTCTCCTTTCATGGACCTCTACAGTGTGTATACTCAGAATTTTAAAAATGGGTTCTCAAGTGAAAATAGAAGAATGAAAAAGCAGAAGGTATTTATCTTGACCTTATCTGCACATGTCAGAAAATTAAGACAGTGATGAATTACACATTACAGTATAAAATTTTACTGTCAGAGGCAAAATTCAAATTTGTTCTGCTTTAAATACAGAAGACAAATTTTCTCATTTAGAAAAATCCACTTTGTTAGTGTTTGGTTGTAATGGAACAAAAATTTCATGTTGAATACATACTGATTCAATTTTTACTGAATAATTTTAAAGGCATACCATAGAAAACACTTATCTGCTAAACTAACACAAAGTTATTTATTTGGTAAATGCTTTAGTAACTTGTATTTACTAAAAGAATAGTTACTATTTTGTTTCTAAATCATAAAATATTAAAAAGAAAAAAGTACTTCCATTTGGCATATTTTAAATAAGTCTGTCCATTTGGGAAACGGCTTTAGGAAAATAAACTTTATTGCTGAATTAATTCAGGTTCATTAGAAATAGTCCACATAATATTTTAAAAGATTATGATGAATAGTGGTATCCAGAAAGCCACTTTTGAAAGCTCAAGGGCAGAATGTCTCATCTTGCTCCGAGTAACTGGACAGTGCATAAGCTTCATAGAACTAATGTGTTTTATTTTATAGTCTGAATTTGTTTTCAATGACTATCAAAACATAAAGGGACTAAAATATAGCAAAGGAAATGGCAAGTATATTCATATGTGACAATGTACAGGGAGCATTTAAAAAGGTAATGTGAGATTACTATTATACCATAGTTTAAAAGGTAGAAACAACATTTGAGGAGAAATTCACTTGAAAAATGTTTCGTACTTGAGAAGCGACAGATAAGAAACCCATTTTAAATAAAATTGAATAACACAAAATTAAGAGCGAATGTTCTCACTCAGTAGATCCTACTGTATATGAAGGTGGGAACGGGATAGTGTCTAAGAACAAGCACAGTATTGCAAACCTAGTAGGGGTTAAAAGGATAGCGACTGAATGATTAACTTGGAAGATAAATGCACTGCACATTCAAGGCAGATGTTCCTTACGGTAATATTTGCTATAAAACATTTCACTCCCTCATTTACTTACATGACATAATAAAAATGTGTGTGATTAGAAGTAAGTTGACCTGTGCCAAGCTAGGTCAAAGCAGTTATCTTACACTGAATCTACTACACACAGCAGGCCAATGGAAAAATGTAACTTCGAGTAAATTCAGCAGCTGCAGTCCATCTATACAGTTCCAAGCTGAAAGGAATAGTTCTCTGGCCTCATTGCTAAGCGAAAGGAAAGTTCTGGCTAGACTAATAGGTCTCCTCTGCATGTAGGACAGAGGTTTAACCTGATCTTTTGGTCCACTAGTGAAGAGCTTTGCAACCCATCCTCTCTTTTTACTTGTTTTTCAAGGCTGATTGTCTAGAGTATCTGTTAATTATCTGTTGTAGCTTAAAACCCACTACACAACACACTAATGTAAAACATTTTGATGAAAACTGTCATAGGTCATATGAAGTAACTGTTAAGAAACAAGTGTCAAACCAGAATGCACTAATTAACATTTTTTCTTAAATGAGTCAGTGACAATGAAAAAATAAGCTAAGTATTCGAATCCTCTATAGAGACTGATTTGTATGGATAATCATTATGCTTCCATGAATATAGGAGGCAGATTAACGACTGACTTGAACCACATAAGGCTTGGTTTGCAGGGTTTTGAATTCCAGCTAATACCTATCACCAGTCATGTAAACTGATCCCAGCCCTTAACCTCAGTCTCCCCATTGGTAAATTGGAACTGATGGCGTTTCAGTTATAAAGTGAGATGATGTCTATAAAGTGCCTGGCATTTAGTACACACTCAAATGTTCATTCTTTTCCTATATTTGACCTCATTTAACATTAATACAGCACATAAAAAATTAATTCAGATAAAAATGAAGGATTCGTCATTATTTATCTTTTTTCTTAGTGCATTAGTACATGAACTGGGAATGTACAAAAGATAGACATCTTCAGTGTACTATCCTTAAAGTACTGAATATTCAAAATAAAGTCCCTTAATGTGCTATGTGTTCAAAATCTGAATAAAATCATACTGTCTACTAATATGACCATTTGTGAAAAAGTTATTTAAAAAATATAATGCATATACTTATACATAAGCAGTATACTTAAAACTGGAACATATATTTTTCACCAACTGCTTATTTTTAATACTTAAGACTCTTTAAAAACTTTTCTAAACTTTGAAATAAAATTTCATAAAATAAAATTGAAAATAAAAGCTACTAGAATTCCCTTTTGTTAGAGTTTTCCTGAATAGAAACCAGATTAAACAAAATATTTTAATAAAAAAATTCCTTATTAATTCAAAGCAATTGAACTCAGGGTTACTCTTATATAACTAAAATTTGAAATTTTAGAATATTTTATAAGAACATTTTTGTACTCAAAAGTTCACATATACTAATTCGAACAAAGACATTATTGCCCAGGCTAAGAATTGTTGAATCTGCTTTAAAGAATATATGATTAACTTAAAATTAACACATTGTGAATGTACAAATAGTATGCTAAACCTATTTTAGAAAACTTGAACTACTTTTACATAAGTAGGTTAAACATTCTTCCTGCAACTTACTGATATTATTAAATTGCTCAAATAGCTTTTCCTAAATTCTATCCCAATTTATATTCCAATTATAAAGTTTAAACCATGTGGTTTTATTATACTTTCTAAATGTTACACATTTCTGTAAAACACAATTAAGTGCTGTGAAACCAAACATTGAGAATTATCCGCAAGTACCATAAACGTTTTGAAAACTAGTGTACAAAAATAATTGCATAATATTATCTATACCTAAAAATTTAGTTTCTCTTCTGTAGCATGTAATTATTTTTCTTGTTGCCCTCACTCTGATTGGCTCATGATTTATGTTTGTTGCATTTATTGTGATGTGAATTCATCCAGGCCTTTTTCTGCTCTTCCTTCCTTTCCCTTCACAGAGTGCTTTGTGAAATAAAATGTGCTCTATAAATATTTGTCTAATTAAATTGAATGTTACCCCATATAATTAGCAGTGTCAAATGATCCAGCTATGATCTCTGGTAAAGGAAGAAAAAAGTGTAGGAATCTTAATTTCTCATTATATAAACTTGTACTATGTCTTTAAGAGGTATATGTGGTTACCTCAGGTCATCCTGAGAATAATTGAGCTATTTTAGGTCTTCAATTTCTTAGAAAAAAAAAATTCCTTAAAATTTTAACAGCCAGTAGATTTTAATCAAATATATCATTGTAAACTTCTTCAGGAATTCCTATGCTGCAGCTGCATAAACATTGCTTTTTCACAATTTAGTCTGCATAACATTTTACTGAATATTATTTTCACTGATTTAGATGGAAACCATTTTATCTGTGGCCTGACCATCTGTTACTACAGATAGAGTTTACCAGAGAAATGTGTATAAAAATAAAGCAAATTATCACCATGTTAAAGTCCTATTTAAACAGTGTTCACCAAAAGATCAAAAAAGGAAACTATAATCAATGAACTATATTTTTTGTCACAATATTGGGCTGCTTATACTGACTGAAGTGAATTGCTGATGAACATTTCATCCAGTTGTTTGACATCATGCCAATTAGAAACACAGACTTTAAAAAATAATATAATTAGTGTAGACCTATTTCATCACGTATTTTGACGTTGCTTCTGGTATTTGGAAGGCCTCCAACTCGTGCAATGGATAGAGGCATTTCAAAAACGTCTAATTTCATTGTAGGAAGGTTTTATTCAAAGTCTAAGGTTATTGTGCCTGTTCTCCAAATAACAACTATGTAATTTTCAATGGTTCATGTTGCTACTCTGAGCCTCAGTTTTCTCATCGGACCATCAGGGCTAATATAATTTATTATGTTTTTGAAAGGAGCCCAATAAAACAGCACGTATAAAAGCTCTTTGCAAATGGAATGCAATTTATAAGTACATTATAATCTTAATAACCTTGTAAGATATTACAGTTATGTTTGTAAATAGCACTGTCACAAAAATCTCAGCCTTATGATAGGAAGTATCTTAGAAATAATATAAACCAAAGTCAGCTGAAGCGCCAATTAAAATCTGGGTTATTGAAACTCAGGAATCAACCTCACATTGGAGAAATTAACCTTAGAGCTCGTGCTCGTCTATTTTTTAAAAACTTAAAGATTTTAAGAAAAGTTTAAGGAAAAATGTGTGAAAATGGGAAAAACTTTTTATTTATAAGTTACCTGGTGATATTGAATATTCGGTATGGTAAACAATTTAGTTCTGTCTAACTGAAACCAAGTTTTGTGTTGAACATATATTGACAGAGTAAAGATTTAAGCCTAGATATTGAACACTTTCAACAATTTGTCATTTCATGCATATATAGGACCTGTAAAACATACAAAGAAGAGAAAAAAGATAAAAAGTCTATGTAGAAAATAGAATTTTATAACTACATTTTACAGAATATTCCAAGAGATATCATTGGTCATTTTATTATTTTGAAAATATTACTTATTTAAACAACTAAAAAATGTTAAAGCCTGATATAATCTTCAACATTGGAAAGGATAAATTATTGAAAAATATGTAGAACAGAAATTCCATCTCAATGTCATTGATACTACTATACCGTTGAACAGATATTCTATGAGGTATAGAACATTGCACATAATTACACATTTAGGATTTGACATCATAGCTAAACCAGTTGTTCAAGGCCACTAAAATACTGAAAGAGGATTAAGATTATTAACAGCGGGGAGGAAAAAAGAACTCTAAAAGCCTTTCTAACTCAAATCTGGCAATGGTGATTTCACTCAAAAAGAACGTCACAACTACGAAGAATTTTTAGTAATTCATGACACAAAATAAGACATCCACCTCTAATTTTTTAATCTATTTACCTCTATTCCATGAATCCAAGAGTGATATTGTACATGTTTTGGACCTGCACAGCAGTGTGGTATTTATCATTGTGATGTCTCAGAACTTGTCCCTTAAGGATTTTATATATGTGATAAGTACTAGTAAAATTTCATGACTTCTGATCAGAATGCCTTTTAGATTTTATACGAAGTATTACTATGTCTTACTAATACCACACAGTGTCCTTAAAATTCATGTGTTTTACTTGAAAGAAGTGCTGAAAATGTTAGGTATGAGTAATAGTTATTAATTTCTAAAAAGATAAAATTCAATTGTGGGTGACACCTGTTCAATGGATTGGGAAATTGCTCCTTTACTACAGACTCAAAATAAATCTATGGCTCTGGCTTCTAAAATACCTATTTTCCCCCCAATGTTCAGTGACTATTAGAATATATTTCTCTCAATAATTTGCAAGAAGATTTGGAGGAGTGGAAAACCTCAAGACAGTAGAAAGTTGTCCACAAACTTTTGCCTTGGGTCCAGTGATTGTGTTGGTATTTTATAATGGTAAACTTAAAATAAGTTCATTTTTGGATAATCTAAACAATGTTTGGAGAGCTGGCCTACTGGGTGAGAATACCATTTAAAAGCACTTGTGTTACGTAACAGACAGCCATGGCAAGGGCTATTTAAAATTCTTAGGTAGAAGAGAGCTGTCAATGCCAAAGGAAAAGCTTTGCTCAAGGAAAGTAACTTTCCTCTAAACAGATGGCGCAGCGGGGATCCAAGGTCATTACATGGTATCTGACCTACTTGAGGCCCGGTCACTTAATGGAGGATTAGACTGACACAGACACAAAGACCAACACACACACACAGAGTTTTTAACCCTCTGGACCACCCAACATGAGATGGAAAAACAAATAAGATGGAAAAGAAACGTTTTCTCAGCACTGATAATTATTAAATGTGCACAATTGTTTTATGCAACAGGAAGTTTGACCAGAATGATGACAGAATCTATATTTCGGATACGTGGCTGCCACTTTGGAGAATTAGAAGAGTGTTTATACATAAATTTTGTTTGAACTCATTTTCATGTAGTAGAATAGACCATTGTTCAGGAAATAGATGAAAAAAATCTATAACAGTTGAGAAATTTAGTCAGGAAATCATCAGAAAGGAGAGTGTTAAGATAAATTCTTTTCAGCCTTTTCAAAGTTTGCATAAGTTTATAAAAAGAGATAAAGTTTCTTTGATCGGAAGAGATTCTTCGCAGAAGTGCAGTGTACAACATACTATATACATATAGGGCTTCCCTCTGTACATATACATATGTATACACCATCTATATGACTTTTTAAACATATACACGGCTTTAACTCGAAGAAAATGAGTTAGCAACACAGTCATCATTGCAAGACAATCCAAGTGCTGAAAGAAGGGATAATGATCACTTAAAGGGCTATTTCACCTCCCACATTGCCCAGGACCAAGAACAGAATTCTTTTTTAGTTCTTCTTTCATTGCAACACTGATTGTCATAGATAATCTTTGTGCTTTTGTGTAATGCCCATCCTGGATGTAACATACATTCACATATGACGTCAGACAGTTTAAATAAGCATGCTGAACACAGGCAGGACCACACAACCATGCAGAAAATATTCTGAATATGTTTTTCCAAACTGACTGCAACATCAACATGCATCACTATCATATTTGGTCCTGTACAGCAAGGAATGTACAGCTGAAGCCATCATGGCTAGTTTCACTTGCAAGAGTTTCTTTAGAGAAGAACACCCAGTAGAGAAACAAAACAGAATGAATGAAACAAACAAAAAGTCCCCCAAAACCAAAAATTTAAAAAAAAGAAATTTCCTCCCACATGTTAACGCTGAAAATCTGGCCATTTTTCACATAGCACATTTTCCTCATTCCATAGAAAGCAGGTCTTCTCCCAAAATCTGGAGTTGAATTGTTCATAAGAGAGATTTTAGTGTCTCAGAGCTTTTCCTAACCATTGGAAAAGCTCATCTTGATAAAGCATTTTCCAGCGCACGTTGGCTTCAACGGTTTCCACGGCTCTCAAGAAAGAGGCAGCAGCTACTCCATTGTAGTTCTTCATGAAGTTCTTCAGCTGGAAAGAAACATTTTTGAAGGGTAAATATGCATGTCTCAAACTCCTGTCGAACATATATAAACAAGACTATATGTAAAACAAAGTGCCACAGTCACTGCAGAAGGCATATTTAATATGGGAAGCAAGCTCACTAACGAAATACAATACAACAAATTGCATCCATTAGGTGCGATGTAGTTTCTTTTGGAACCGGAAGGAAAAAAGAGTAGACATCACAGTTTCAAGAGCTCCAAATTCAGCTTCTTGTTTCATAAGTAAATATTAAAATAGACGTATTTATCTTTTCGTAATAGGTTGAGGGGACTGTGGCCAAGGCTAGTTCTAATTGCAAAGCATATCCAATGTACAAATAGCCTTAAAAACTGAAGATAAGGATTAAAGTTCCCTCTTTGTTGGTAGAGATCCAACTCTTCTTCTTCTTCTCCAAATAAGTAGCATAAGGGCTTGACTCTTATCTTTGGTAGGAAGGGATTACCAGTTATTGGGTGGTGGGAAGAAAGTAATGATGCTATGAAAACTGGATGATTAATGACATTTCAATTGCCCAGGTGACTCAACTTAGAAAGAATGAAGGAAAGCTAAGTGTGGACTCATTTAGCTAGATACTTTGAGCACTTAATTAAAATAAGTTACAATTTTAAAATGCTTTGCTATTATTTTTCTGGATATAAGATTTTCTCTAGAGAGCTCACATATTCTGGGATTGCTCAGGGACTTTATTTCAAGATTAAATATTAGCAGTTTTTCTTTCTGACTGATATGTCTTAAGAAACTGGCAACCAACCAACAATTGCAATGCTAATAGGCAAATGTGAAAAATCAACTTGCAACACAGAAACATTAGTGGTGTAATTAGTGTGGGTGTGATTCATCACATGGTGGGTGCCACATGGAGGATATGCCAGGAGGGAAATGTAGTGCATCCAGATTGACTCAGGAGCAGGGAGTATGGGGGGAGGGGCATTTAAAATGGACTCTTTAATACTTTTCTGAGTTAATCTAGAAATTGGCTCATTGGTAGCTTGGTTTGTTTATGACAATGTTACTTTGATTTCATGATACCCATGGGTTTTCTCAAAGTTTTTCCTCTACTTTCCTATAAAGCCCCATGCCCCCCACAGCATTAGCAATGGATAACTATATCTCAGAGCTATATCCTTTATAAGACTTCAAAATCACTATGCTTTGATAACAAACATGTAAAATATCCAACATATAACAAAGATTTATTGATGCTATTCTGAAAATTGATTTGACATTTTACCAGATTTATACAGACTAAGAGGAAGAAGGGAAGACATGGGAGTTTATTGAATGTCTTCAATATTCCAGGCACAGTGCTACACACATATGCCCGTTACAGGCACAAAGATATTAAAAGGAAGTCTAATGGAAACATTGAATCATATTTTTAAACTTTAACTGATTAATCCAATAATTCATATATATTTATACGTTTGGACTCATTCATTCTGTATTCCTAAAGCAACAAGTAATACATTATGATCTATGTCTCGAATTGTTTTAATACAAAAGTATGGTATATTACAGCATACATGTGTATATACATTTGTACATTACAGTGGAATTCTTTACATAATATATGTCAATCAGGAAAAAATTATATTTACTCCTCTTAAAATATATTCTGCTTTATTACATACATACTTTCCTCGGCAGTACTAAATATGCCAGATAGTGATAAATGACCCTTTGGCAACTTTGACTCTGCAGCATGCTCTTGGCCCCTTGAGGAGAGAGAGAGAGCGAGCCAGCCTGAACACGTGAAGCAAAACGCTTCCGTCCTCCTCAAAGGCAAACTATGGGTTTGAATATGAATGTGTTATTGACACAAAGACAGTAGGTCAGATTATCCTGCCAGAGAACCATCAATAACAAATGTAAGTGGTAGGTCCCCAGGGATTCATTTCTTAAATCACTATTTAAGTGCACTAAATACTTGCCTCATGAGCTCAGAGAGCCTGAGGTGACTCGTATGAATCTTGGGAGTAGCTTTTTCGTCAGAACATATATGGCCCACTTTCCGTAGTCGGCACATATTGATTTTATGCCCAGATTCCTCTGCAGCTCTTCTGTCAAACATGTGGTTACAGCAGCTATCTAACGGGTCCTGGGGTGGGGGGGGTGTGATCATAGCACCTTCCTGACCCCTTGCCTGACTTTAGAGGCCCCGGGGTAGATGGAAGGGACTTGGCATTCCAGTTTGCTTATTTCTGCAGCTCTTTGGTAGATTTTCTGCTGTTATTAGCTTTTATTACTGTGTTTCCTAAATATTTATGCCAGCTTATGCTTTTATTTGAAAATGTTGCAAGTTTAGACATTTTTATAAAATAGCATTTAGTAAGATGTCAGAGTTGTTTGTGCTTCCTAGTCTTAGCATAAAATCTCTAGACATGTTTGTTAATTTCTCCATTAGGAGACATTTTCAGGTTTAAAAAGAAAACTCTGATTTTAGGGTACCCTAGACCCTAAATATCACAAAATAAATTATTTGTAGAGTAAATGGCAAAACCTAATATACTCTCAGTAACCATATAAATGAATTGAATTAGCTATTGCCCTATTATGAGGTTTATATTTTCAACATTAAAACTGTAAATGGGATGTCTGTGATGCACAGGATCTATGTTCCTCCACAACAGGGTTGTAGATTAGGCTCAAGAAGAAAAAAAAAAAAACAAAAACAAACAAGGGCTGGAGAGAATTGCTTAATAGGCATTAGTATGATGGCAAAGGGCCTCTGCAGCTCCCTCAGGTTGTACTTCCATTAGTTTAAAATTAAGGAAATAACACACTGTTTCATAGAGAAATAGTGTTCAAATGGCTAGAGCCACGTAATTAGAAGGAAATTACCAGTTTCAGGTACTAGAATGTAGTTTTGGGGAAGGGACCCTGCAACAATGGGCTGATGGGGATCATTAACATCAAAATAAGTTTTCAGAATTCACAAAGATGTTGATTCCCTTTCGATCTATATATACTCTTGAAAATAAGAATATGCCCCCATCCAAAGGGAGCGCATTGGGTTTTCTGCTTGTGAGGATCATTGGTTATAGAAGGATGAATCTGGAATTTCCTCACCCCTTTTATATTAATGGCGGGGGATCCCTTCATGATATGGCCACTTGTGCTGACTTTCTAGTTTGACGACTGCCCTCTGAGGCTTTGCCATACTTTCATTATCTCATCATTGTCTTAACGATTGGGGACCGCTGTTGTGGAGTGGGATGGGAGTTTGCTCTGTATTCCTTGCACATGCCACAGAGAGATGGTATTGTGAAGTTAGCCGCTCCGTAGGTAATGGAATAAAAGCCACAGTTCAGTTTCACGTTTGAAACTGCACTTTTCATTACAAGGACATTTCAAATGACAATTAAATCAAGTGGAAAAATATTAAAAATATGTGTGAAGTAAGTAAGACAAAATGGTCAGCATAGGATAAAATCAAATAAATATCCATTTAAAAGATCTTTTCCCAGGGCCTGGGTATACCTGAAGCAAGGAAAGTATGAAAGATAGACAAGAGTTTGAGGAAGAAGAAAAGGGAGCAGGTACAGGAGAGAGGCAGCAAGAAAGGGGCAAAGGCAGAGAAGACTGGGGAGAAGACAGGAGAAGGAAGGGAGCTACAAGGGAGGAGGAGGAGGGGAAGGGAAGGGTGGAAGCGATTTTTCACATCTGTGTTCACTTCAGTGGTTTCACAGGTTGTGACTAAATGAGTCTTTTACTCACTGATTCCTGAATGTAAAATCAAGAAATTAAAAGTACTTCATTTAAATACAGAGAAAACTGGAAGCAATCATTCATTTAATTGTTCTTTCATTCTGTTTCATATAGCTATGAAAGAAGTCCTTCTCATTTAGCTTCCTTTATTAAAAAAAAATTTAGTAAAACATGGGCTGGGGCTTTCAGAACCAAATCCTTTAGGGTTGGGAATACACAGCAGGGATAAAAATTGAATTTCAAATCATTGCAATCAGAGACTTAGCTTAGCTCATCGTGTATAAGAATCCAAGTTAGTGCATGAGAGATGATCATACAACATTGGGCAATATTAGAAGATGTTAAGGATGATGCCAGGGTTGATGCTCCTGGGGAAATGCTGCTCAATATGATTAGCTCTGGGTCACAGTCTCAGGCGTTCTGTCAGTGAGAGCAGAGGAAGCCATGATTCTCAAGACCAAATATATAAAATATATTTATAATGGAGTTGAGCAGCAGACAAAAAAGTGATAGATGGTTGAAGCCCAGCTCATCTGAATCATCTAAATGTATCTATATTTTTTCCTCCCTCCTACATACTTACCCCTCCACATTTCACACCCATCTCTTTTACAAATGTGAGTTAATGGTCAAAAAAAAAAATTATCTCCAGAGAAATAAACCAGAGAAAAAACTATTAATCTCATTATATATTGCCCGATACATTCTCTTTCATACATATGAATTCATTCCATTGAACAGACTAGATAGCATGAGGCATTATTATCACACCTAGTGATCCACTCCCTGTATTGGCCTGACCACGAAGCAAGGAGACTTAAGTTCTATATCTTAACACCAGCCCTGATCTTTTGTACCCAAATACTGAGTCATTGTGACAGGATGGGTCTGTCATTTCTAGGATCCTAAGCTGGGTTCACATCATCAGCCGAGGAATAGATGATTGGATCAAAGAGATCTGGAGTGGATTTGAGAATCATTATATTCAAACATCTCTCAAAGGCATTTTATGCTTGTTTGTTTGTTTTTTAGATTTTATTTACTTATTTGAGAGAGAGAGAGAGAGAGAGCACTCACATGGTCAGAGGGGGAGGGAGAGGGACAAGTAGACTCTGAACTGAGTGCACAGAGCACTAAGAGGAGATCTCAAGACTCAGATCATGACCTGAGCCAAAACCAAAAGTCAGATGCTCAACCTACTGAGCCACCCAGGAGCCCCAAAGGCATTTAACGTTTAATATAATAGAAATAATTTTGCAAATAATGAATTAAATCAAGTCTTTATCATGAACGTATGTTTTTTTTAAGAAATGGATATGAATCTGTTGGAAAAAAATGGTTAAAGTGAATGTATAATTTCATATATTTATAAAAGAAAAACATTAGAACTTATATATTAAAATATTTACCTCTTTGAGTTCACCTTCAGTATTAAGAAATTCTGTAACTCCACTAATGAGTTTGGAATTCATAAATAATGCCTCTCCATACCTGGAAAGATAAAAAAAAAAAAGTATTGATGTTAATATAGGAAGTAATTTAAGAAATACTACTCTATAGATATTTTTAGAATCCTTTTCAAGGGCTCCATTTGACCAATGTTATCTTGTTGCCATTAAGATCTCTGAACATTTCAAGGTCATTTCACCAGGGAGCCAGGGAGGTGCAAAGAGCTCTGACTGCAGAATACCATCAGATGCCCCCTGATTTATCTCAAAATGTCTCAGAGAGGTCTAAGTTGCAGTAAATTAAAAAAAAAAAAAAGGAACCCTCTAAAATTAGATTTAGGAATTACTATTATATTTTCAATCCAAGGTTTGAGGGAGAAATATTTTTAAACTTTCTACTTTAAACAACTTAGTTCACTATGAGGAAAAAAAAATCCCAACAAAGGAAACAGGAGTGTAATACAAACTTGGGCATTATCAGTATGTCACACAGATCCTTTGGTCTGGTCAGTCATAAATGACATTGGCATTCTTTTTCATGCTTAGAAACTGAGCCAAATTTCTTTGAAGTGCTCCCCAAATATTAGTATGTTTTCATGTAGGCATTAAATTAAAATATTGAGTTGTTCACTTGGATTGCATAATCCTTGTACCACAGACATAAATTCTTGACTCGTGACCCACAGTAAGGAACAATTTGTACTGGTGAGATGGCAAGGTTTCTCATTTTATTGATTTATCTCTGTTGTGCTAAGGATACCTGTCACAGGCTACCATACTCTTAGAATTAAGAAAGTACACTAAAAAAGATTCTGAGGTTTTGGAAGCAAAGGCTCAGCCCCCATTATAAGAGGTTTTCTAATGCTGCCCTTACAGTATTGTGGCACCTTTCTTTTAGGACTTGTTAAATTGACAATATCTCAAGCCTAATTGTTATATATGGCAAGGGGGTACATGTGGTTTTCTAAGTGTCTGGCTTGAGCAATTGTTGGATGGCCATATTATTTACTGGGGAAAAGAAGACAAGAAGACAGTGATGGATTTAGCTTTGCAGGTACACCTCAGTAGGGGGGTCCAAACAGGCAACTGTCCATCATAGGGTGAAGCTTAGACAAAATGTTTGAGTAAGAGATCTAGATTTGGGAGCAATTGAAACGATCGAGCGATTGGAGTAGATGGCAACTAAAAACAGGGAGAATCTGCAGGCAGGAAATAGGAGTACCTTGGATAGCACCTCCTATTTCCTGTGTTCAAGGATTGACAGAGGAGTAGGAGCAGATGAAGAAGACAGTCCTATTTGTCAAGATAAACACTTCCATATCTGTAGATATACTGAAATCTCAACCTTTCTACCTTTCGGTTGGAGACCATGGAGTCTCAATGAGACAAAATAAGCATACCAGGAACCAAACATTTTTTGGTTGGAACTGAACAATACCTGCACTATGCTGAACTCTGACAGACAAAACCACTCCCTAAGGAGACTGTGCATTGGCAGATATTTGACACTTTTTAAAGTGAAGTGCTCGTATATATTAATTTCACCTGGTATCTGACTATTCACTATATTAGGGGTACATGAGAGCAAAGCAAGTTTTAATCTTCCAATCATTCCAATTTCTGAGCTGCAAATACAAAAAAGCCAATATGTCTTCTAGGAATATCAGTGCCTTCTGACAATGAAACGTCTGTAGATAGAATTGTGCTTTAACAGGACACATCCATTCAAATTGAACCCATTATACAAGGGCAACTGAGAAAGCTATACCTTAAAAATGTAGTTTACACACCAGTTTTTAAGAGACAGAACAAGAGGTCTGTTCACTGTTTGGGGACATTTAAGTTTGAGAACACACAGCATCTACAGGCTCTATAATAAATTTAATTTTAAAATGCCATAGAGATTATCAGAGTAATAAATCAACATTCATTATAATACATTTAAATACATAATGAAACGTTTTCTTAAATTGAGGCTGAAGAATTCTCACCATGAAACAAGATGTCTCAGGAATGCATTCCATTGCAACTAGAGTTATACAACGATTCAAATGTTCCTTCTCTATATCTTGGTTTTATTTCAGGTGTTTTATATTTATATTTAAAGAAAATTTAAAACAATTCTGCAGAGGTAAAATTTTCTTGTTATATAATATAATAATTATATCTGATTTATAAATCTTTTTTTTACAACACATTTAGAATATAGTTTTATGATATTTCTTCAACCTTAGACAGCTCAATAGATTTTCCACAAAAGTTGTACTGCTAAACCTTTTTACTCCCACATTTCCATATATAATCACAGTTTTTAATCTTTATTACATGAATAATGTCATAGAATCATTAAAATAATTCTGAGTTTCACAGAAGTGGCAACACCCATCTTGGTTGACTATTTTAAAATCTAATTCTATTATCTGGACCTTGGTTTTAACACAAAAAGTTGGGCCCTTATCTCTCCTATGTCACCTTTAATTTACTCACTCAAGTTTGAATGACTGAACTCTTATTTCTACCTGGTATTTAATATCTTCCATTTATCTCTGAAAAACTTCCAGGCAAGGTCTCGGCCATGTGGATTTCGAGCGACATGGATTATCACATCAATTGCATCTTGATCTAACACCACCTCAGAATTCAGTGATAGATTCAGAAGCCTTTAAGGATAGAATTGTAGAAAAACTTTTAGCCCAATAACTTAAACATTTTTATAAAATTATAAAAATTACATGCATTAATTTGTCATATTCTTTAAAAGAACAGTCTTGTGTAAACTACTAATACAACTTACCAACAGAACAATTTTCTGTTTATAAAAGGGGGAAGAGCAAAATCATAGCACTTTAATTAGCTCATTAATTAACTTTTGAAAAATTCTTGCGGGTGAAGAAATCACAATTTTGTTTTGATGCTATCAACTCACTTTAAAAAATCTTTATAGTAAATACTTCCTTTTTCAATGAAATATTGTCCTATTATTTAGTGAGAAACAAAGGTATCTCTTTCGATTCAATTAGCTTTAGTCATGTCAACATGGCAATTTTCCTTAGCTATAGAAGATACATCTTAGAGTAACTAGTATATATTCGAGATAATAAAATCAAGTTCAGTGTAGTTTGATTAACAGAGAGTACTCTCATTACACAAATAAATTTAGAAAATTAATTGACCCACCTATTTAATAAGTTCCTGTCATCACTGCAAGTTAAGGCTTCCAATAATATTTTCTTCTCAGAAACTGCTGTGGTGGAGTGGAATTTCATCCATATGAATTCCCAGACATCCTCATCTAGTAGTGAAACTCCTGTACAGTAGACGATGTCTCTAACATTTAGTGGTATTCTAAAGAAGCAACCCATGTTGGTTTTCTGTTAATTAAAAGCTTCATAGCATTGAAACTAAAGACAGATGCTGATTTACTACAGTCAGTTTTTTTTTATTTTTTTTAAAGATTTTATTTATTTGAGAGAGAGAGAGAGAAACAGCATGAGAAGGGAGAGGGTCAGAGGGAGAAGCAGCCTCCCCGCTGAGCAAGGAGCCTGATGTGGGACTCAATCCCAGGACTCCAGGATCATGACCTGAGCCGAAGGCAGTCACTTAACCAACTGAGCCACCCAGGCGCCCCTACAGTGAGTTTTTAAAAAAGATGATTTTGTTAATTAGATTTTACCTGAAAGAGAATAATACTATATAGTAACAATATTCAAAAATATTGGCAATTGAATGATGTAAAATAATGTATTTTGAATGCAAGTTTTATTTCTACTCTTGAAACTATATTTAAACAAAAATCACGGGACACCTGGGTGGCTCAGTTGGTTAAACGTCTGCCTTCGGCTCAAGTCATAATCCCACGGTCCTGGGACCTAGCCCTGCATCAGGCTCCCTGCTCAGCTAGGAGCCTGCTTCTCCCTCTCCCTCTGCCACTCCCCCTGCTTGTGATCTCTCTCTCTCTCCCTCTCTCTCTGTCAAATAAATAAATAAAATCTTAAAAAATCAGAACACAAAGGCTTAAAAAAACAATGCAAACAGGATGCTTTATATTTCCACCAACATTAATACACTTACCAACCAAACATTTTCTCTCATAATTGGTAGACCCAAGAATGACAAGAAAGCACAGGCTGAAGAGACTAATTTGAATAAAACAAACATTTTCTCCTAAAATCATAGACAAGTCTCCCTAAAATTAGTTTTCTCAAATAGGTCTTCACATTTTGGAACCTAGAAGATTACCGATAGAGATAATAAACAGATAAAACATAAAGTAATAAATTTTGAGAAAGTAGAAATTTCTTTTTCCCTACAATTATAAAAGTGACTATAAAAATAGAACAAATTTGACTTGGACTCCAAAATAAATATTATGGTGGGAAACCGTGAGTGGATTTAATTACTCTTGACTATTTATAAGTTGTAAATGCTCATGTTTACTTTACCATAGCAATTTTTTACTAAATATTGTTCTCTCAAGTCTCAGTATATATCCCACATTTTAAAAACCGAATTCTCTGAAAGAACACTAGAATACTTACAAAAAGTCAAAGACAAATACATGTCTGCTTTGTGTCATATTCAGTGATCTACTATTTAAATTTCTCACTTGTAATTTGAATGTGGCTGATTAAGAGGTGTTTTCTCTGGGTAGCAAGATAAAACAATCTCTTCTAAAGATTTAGGACCTTGATTGATGGTTAAAACACGCTATGGTTGAAGGGGTATTTAGAAAACAGGAGGAAGTGTCTGAATGACCACCAGGAAGATAAGCTTCATCTTATTCTGTTAAGCAGCTAAGTAGGGCTACACTCAGAATATTGAGGATTGTGTTTCAGGATACCACAATGCTTATATTTGCTAGAAGTATCATACAAAATTAATTGTTCCCAGAAATGCCTAAAACTATATTATTCTGTCTCTTCCTAGAAGTAATTTGGAGTATTTGGAGAAAAGTTACTTTAACCTCGCTAACTGAAGCCTTTTTTCTTTGTGGTATTAGAAGGCAAGCACTCTGTTTTGTTTTTAAAGGAACACAGACATCAGAAGAAACCATCCAAGAGCTTCAGAAAACATTGCTACCACATGCAATCATGGTAGATAGCATACAGGATTACAAATATGCTTCCATCTTTACTAACTATAATAAAAAAGTTAAGAAACCTCGTCTTTCTCTAAATCAACAACTAGAAAAGAGGATGAGTCTTTTCTCCCAAATATTATAGGCTACAGAGCAAAACACTGTATCATTGTTATGACTTTGGCCAAGAGATCAATAGAAAAATTTGCAAGAAAAAACAATAAAATGTCTACTGAAATCATCAGCTCATAAATTAATGTATATTTTCTTTTTTTCTCAATGTATATTTTCTTAATGTTAGACCTAATAGAAAGTCATTAAGCTACTAATCTACTAAAGAGAATATAGGGATAGAGCCCATTGAATTAGGTTTTTTACTGCCTATGAAATCCATCTCCAATATCAATGGTTTCAAGTAGAAAAAACATACAGAAATATAGAAAATGCAAAAAAAAAGATATTAACTATATTCCTTAGAAATAACTTGACTGCCCTATATCATAATCAGTAGGAATAGTCCATATTTTGTTATTCAGTAGATGTTGTTGACTGATGCAGAACTGTGTAAGATGCACATACAAATGAATAAATGGACTAGCCCGTCCAAAGTCCTGGGCACTGGCTAGAGGAGCACGAGAGGCAGGAAATAGCAATTCTGTGCAATACCATGTTCCAGGTTATACATTTTATTTAGTCTATATAATAATATCATGCCGTCTGCATTATAAACTTCTTTTTGCAGGAGAGGGAACTCTGTTCTCAGAGAGGATATTTTGCACTATCACCACTATATAGTAAACTGAGATCCAGGGTGATCTGTACATGAAAGTCTTTCCCATTTTTATCAGCTTAGAGATGGCTATGACAACAGAAGTATGATACATTGTTTTCTATTAGTGGTAGTCATCAGAGTAATATGGACACATCCAACTTATCATGCTCTCAGTGCTGAAGTGGCCACAGGGTCGCCGCTAACCTTTTTTTTTTAAGTTAATTTTCCAATACACAGTTAAATCAGTCATCTTTGAGAAATATTCAATATGGGCAAGACTGGATTTCCAACAATAAGTATCCATGGTGCCCACCAGCACTGAAGCTATCCTTGTTAAAATGCAGCCTCTGGGTGAGCGTAAGGACATAGGTGAGCACTGTACTTAAGGAAATGCTCTATGGCAATCTGGTCATACACACAGCACGGAGAAAAAAATCTTAAAAGGGCACTCAGCAATAAAGTGCTGGATAAAATGACAGACCACCCTGAAGGAATCTAGCAAAAGTTATCCTAGGCAAAGGAGGCCTTTAAAAGCAAAGCTGATTCCGGATCTCAAGCTGCAGTCCCAAACCAAGAGAGAGACCCCATAATTTGGATTTGCTCTGCCAGAAGCTGCAGGTCAACTTTTCAGGCTTGTCAGCAGCTATCCCTCTGTGCACAGCAGATGTATCAAATTTGATTACTATAAAAATGAGACACACATATGTTTACATATATAATCTCAAGCCTGTGGATGGGCCATTGAAAAACCGCCCTCGGTCTCAGCTGCAAATCTCCAAAACTCTCAGGAAAGAAATAACTCTATTAGTAGATGCCATGCGAATGTGCTGCTTCCGGTTCACAGGTCTCCTTCGAAGGGCAAGGACAGAACTGATTAACAGGAGAATACCACCCTGATTTTTCGAGCATCTCTTCCCACGGCATGCACCCCTCAACTTCCTTACCCACCCACCAACTAAGGAGTCAATGGATAGTTCATAACATTATTGTCCTCATTGCTGAAAATAAAACAAGACTGGTGAGCACTGAATTTGCTAAGGGCCTAGGTTCCCAATGACTTCCATTGTTAATGAAGCCCCTTTTGTTGCTAAATTTGTAAAGATGTTCTAATAACATTTTAGCAAAATGATTGCTCTGGGGACAGTTTAAGATCTCTTTGTATAAACCAAAGTCATTAAGGAACAAATGAAAAAGCTCATTTGTTTGGAAAGCATGGGCTGAAAACCCCACAGAACCCAAGAACCCATAGTTATGAGCAGTACAAATGAGTTTTGTGAGATTCTTGATATCAGGATTACAGGGAGGCACGGCCCCTTCTCATGGACATGGAAATTGTTTATAAGAATGTGAATATCCCATGGTCATTTCTTTTAAGCTGCTGCCTCAGAAATAAATCTTTTAATGGAATTTTATTATCTAGAGAAGGAAAGCTGTGCTTATTTTTCTCTCTGTAGTATCCATATACAGGACCAGGAAGCTAGTCTCTCCTATCTGCCTTCGTAGGAGATGAACAGAGGAATGCTTAGCCAAAAGGAAGTGTCTATCTTCTTGAGGGTCTAACACTGCAGAAAATTATTACCTAATTAGTGTAACTTGTACTATAGTTTTTAATCTATTCTCATTTTAAATAGGATCATGACAAAGTTCATTTGTATGGTAAAAGTTTTGAAAGCAAAATAGTTTTGAAATTGTAACAGTTAGCATCTTGAAATAATCTATTTTGTATTTTGGTGATATGTTGAACCTTTTTTACTTTGCCAAAAGCAAATGCATGAAAACAAAATGCTTTGGGGTAGAAGTTAAAAAAATTTAGTAGGTAGAAAAATAGAGGGATTTTAAAAATTTAGAAAAATCTAGAAAAATTTTTTTACTGAGTTAAATAATGATGGTGGAATGGGACTAGTATTTTAAATCTTAGTAAATTGGTATTTTAGTTATTAAATGGAAATTTGTGAAGTAGGTTGATAAATTAACAGACACATTTCTGAAGATTTTGCTATAAAAATTTTCTTTGTTGTAGGTGTTTTTTAAGGTAAAAAATCAGGGCACATCTAAAATAACAATAAGGGACCTGTTGAAGATATAAATAGCAACACAGAATGATGTATTATAGATTAATATTTAATGATATGATAAAATACATTATTTAATATGATGAACTATATTATTAAGGATGAACATAACATACATAATATGACTACATTAAGCGAAAAAAATGTAATGTGTATGTTAGAAAGAAAGACTAAAAGAAAAAACAAGAGAATATTAACATTTGCCTCTGGGTTGAGGGATTACAGTTAACTAGTCTTTCTTTTTTTAATTCAAGTATTTCAAATTTAATCATTTAATAAATTTGACAATTACTTTGGAAATAAGATAAGTAAATGTATAATTACATTTATAAAGACAAAATTCTATTACTATTAGAGTAAAACATATTCCAATATAGAAAAACGCTATTGAATAATATGTAGAAACAATTCTGATGATACAGTT